GCGCGCCGCCCCCCTCGGCGAAGGGCAGCCGCTCCGGCCCGCGCCGCGACCCGCGCGGCGCGCTCGTCGCCGCGCCCCCGCGGGGTGGCCTGCGGCACCCCGTGCCCGCTCAGCAGCACTGAAGGGGCCCTGGGACACACAAATGAATACACACAAAGAAAAAGACTCCCCATATTTTCCCATACTTTCTGGGTTTCTGCCTCCCCCCCCACTTCCCATATGTTCCCATATTTTCTGGGGAATCGACGACTAATTGTGTCCGTGTGTGTTTTGTTCCCTCCTGAAGCACCTCTGCGTCGGAGGCCAGGCAGGGCAACTGCGCTGGCGAAGGGCCACCGGAACGGGGGTGCCGTCGTAGCGGATCGTGCCACCGTGCAGGAGGGGGGGGGGCAGGGCAGAGAAAGCGGCCGAAAGAGGGGACGGAGGGGAGCGAGGCCGCGCAGGGGGACGGGTCACGCCCGGGCCGTTCAGGAGCATACGCACCTGGACTCCCGCATGATGGCTCCGATTGCACAACAGATGCTCCAAAGTGGTGTCCAGGCGACTCTGACGCGTCCCGAGCGCGACCAGGTGCTCCATCGTGGCCCTCGAGACACCCCTGGCAAGAAAAGGTATGGAAACCATATGTGTTCAAGAGCGTAGCGTGGTCTCCAAGAGACCCCCAGGAAGACTCCATGAGGCAAACACGAAGTGTTGTTTCGGCACCCTACCCGTCCCTTTCCCAAGGGGCTTGCAGAGGTCGTCAAGACGGCCCAACGCGGACCCCCCAAAAAATGTCCCCAAAAATTAACCCAAGGCAAGCCGAAGAAGCACACAGACGCGGCCGACACGCTCCTCGACATAAGGCGAAGACGGCCACGACGGCTCTTATATGGACATGAGACGGCCCAAAACGGCCCCGGCTTGTCTGAAGAGACAGCTTGCCTTGCAGTCTGAGGCCAAGGAAAGCTGAGCAAGGCCCCCGGACCCTATCACACAAGGCCAACATGGTCCTGAGGTGGCCAGCGGATAGCCCCTGACAGTCTGGATCCAGCGCGCCGGCAGCGGCGAGGCCCCGAACATCCGGTGAGCAGGAGGAGGAGGAGGAGGAGGAGGAGGAGGAGGAGGAAGGAGAGGAGGAGGAGGAGGAGGAGGAGGAGGAGGAGGAGAGGAGGGGGTGGGGGAGGAGGAGGAGGGGGGCGGCGGCTTGCGGCGTAGTCGGTAGTAGGCGGCGGTCGTCATCGTCGGTCTGTAGCCATAGTGAGGAGGAGGAGGGAGAAGATGTTCTGCCGCCGCGGCCCTCTGCCTGTCAGACCTACCCAAACTCGCTGCTGCTCGACTCGACTGTGCGTGAGGAGCCAGCAGGCGTGCTGCGGTGCTGCGGCAGGCTCGCGTCGTGACGACCCTTGGCGTGGACTCCTGACACCGCGGAGAGCGTTCGGCCCGGAACGATCGCGCGTGTGCACACGCCGGATATCCAGGTTGGCCGAGTCTGGGCCACCAGCGGCGTGAAACCTCGAGCGCCCGCGGCGGCATCGCAGCCGGGTCGGCACGACACGAACCTGCCGCACCACGGGGAAACACACAAGCCGCGAGCACTACGAAGTGTGTCACACGGTGACGCCGAACAGCCGCTGAGCGTACGCCAGAAGCGTCGCTCGTGGAAGGCCCTCTAGGTCCACGCCTCGCAGCTCCAGGGGCACCTCGGTGGTCGTGGGCAGCACGGGCAGCCACAGCAGGACAACCCGCAGGGCGTGGCGGACGATCGACAGCGGATCTGCCTGGGGGCGAGTCAGACGGAGCAAAGCACAGACATGACCCAAACAAATTCGGGCCAAGACACTATCCCTAGGACAACATTACACTAATTGCGCTGCGGGGGTCAGTGCATGGATCAGCCCAAAGCGGGCACCACCGCGAAAGTGCGCATCCGACAGGATGTGAGACAGAATCGTGGGGCATGGAGCATCAGCCGCGTGGCCACGACACGGCCAGGCGCCACAAGTTCCGGCTTGAAGGTGTGCAGATCAAGACCTCCCTGTCAAATTTCTAGACGATGGATCGACTCCCACCCTCGTGGGCACCGCACGCGGGGCACTCCAGGGCGGGGCCACTTCTTTGAGCTCCGTCCTGGAATCCGCAAGACACGCAAATCCAACGAACTCGCACATCGAGATGCAGCGTAATTTCCGAAGGATCGTGGCCCTGGGAGCGCGGACACTGCGCAATTCACGAGGGAGCGCGAACGCAGCGTGACTTACAAGAGATCGTGGACCAGGGGGAGCGGACGCAGCGTAATTTACAGGGGGATCGTTGCCCTGGGAGCGCGGACGCAGCGTTATTTACAATGGATCGTGGCCCTGGGACCGCGGACGCAGCGTAATTTTCGCGGGATCATGGCCCTCGGGGGGGGGCGGACACAGCGTGATTTATCAGGGATCATGCCCCTGGGGGAGCGGACGCAATACAATGTACCATAGATCGTGGCCCTGAGAGCGCGAACCCAGCGTAATTTAGAAGGGATCGTGGCCCTCGCAGCGCGAACACAGTATTATATACGAGTGACCGAGGCCTGGAGCGTGAACCCTGTGCAATTTCCCAGGGATCCTTTTCCTGGGAGCGCGAATCCAACGTAATTTTCGAAAGATCGTGGCCTCGAGAGCGTGACTCCCGCGTAGTGTTCGAAGGATCGCGACCCTGGGAGCGCGGACGCCGCGTTACTTACGATGGATCGTTGTCTTGGGAGCGCAGATGCAGCGTTCCCTGGCACGTCCCCTGCCACGTCCGCCAGCACGTTCCGTAGCGCGTCCCCCTGGCACGTTCCGCGGCGCGTCCCGTGGCGCGTCCCCCCGGCACATCGCGCGGCGCCTTGGCACGTCCCCTGGCACGTCCACTGGCACGTTCAGTGGCGCGTCCCCTGGCACGCCACTGTGCGGCGCGGCACAGCGCAGAGCAGTACAACACAGCCCCTGGCACAGCGTCATCACCAATGATATCTTCAGCGTTGCCATTGCCCATCGCTCAATTGAGGTGCTTGGAAACGTCTCCATTCCTCGCAGTTCTGAATCCTTTTTTCGGGTTCGTGAGTCGATCATGTTTATCGATCGGAGATTCGCCGGCTCTACGCAAGTCGTCCCCAGAGGGGACACGTCCAGAAAAGAACCCTGGGCCCACGCCCTTCCCAGGAAAATGGGAAGTTTTTAGAGCCGCGTCTGGCCGCGGCGACGAGGGTGCTCATTTCTGCCTCTAAGATGCTGGCTGGAACCAATCACATGGGCCACCTCGGCCCCCCCCAGCTGGCTCCCATGATGACTGAGGGCTTTGGGATCCCCCTGCTGCCACGGTGACGAACGCGTGCTCGGACACGAGCGGGGAGGTCGCCATGCAGCGGCTGCACAGGTCGAAGTCTGGCGACGTCACCGACCTGCCGCCGGGGCTCCCCTCACCGAGGCCGAGAGAGAGAGAGAGCCGTCTGCGCGAGCAGAGCTGCCCCGGGGTTGCTGGTAGGCTACAGTCGCCGTGCTACCAGAATGAACGCAGAGGGAGGAACGATTGGGCTTTTCTGGCCACGGCGAGTCTCGGCCACGAGTAGGCATGAGAACAAGATCAGAGGCTAGGCTGACTCTCCCCCCAGTTCTACTGGGCCGTGTGACGGACCCTCCAGCACTCGCTGTTCTGAGAAGTCCAGTCTATGGGCATCGCGCTCGCTCCAGACACCAACGCCCAGCGACCTGCAGCGATTGCCGACGATGGGCATCACCTTGCAGCCGTCGCACGTGAAGCCGTGGTGGTGCACCAGCGTCCCTGCCGGGCACGGCCGCTCAGACCACCCCTCCCATGGCGGAGCCTCACGCGGGGGCAAGCAAGCAACGAAGGCAGAGCACCGCAGCCGCGCAGCGAGGGATCCGCCGTCCTGCCGGGCGGGTCGCCAGGTCGAGTGGGGCTCAGCACGGCCGATCCAAGGCCATGATCGAAAGCGACTCCAGATCGCGCGCCGCGCCGGCGAGTGGCCGCAGGGCCGAAGGCCACAAGCGTCCGACCAGGCCCTCGAGGGTTTCGAGGGGCCACGGGCTGCCGAGCCGCGTCGCGGGCCTCACCCCGAAGCCCGAACACGACCACGCGAGGCCACGCGGCTGCGGGCATCGGCCAAATCAGCTCGTGACCAGCCGCCCCCACGCACGAGGGCCACGAGGGGCCACAGGGCCACGGGGACACCAGCACCCGAGCCAACTGATCTGCCACAGTGCCTTGTGCAAGTTGAGGCGAGGAAGGATGCCAAAGGCTGTCTGGCAGCGTGTCCGTAGCCTTGCAAGGGACACACACACACACACACACACACACACACACACACACACACACACACACACACACACACGCTTTGTGCGTCGGCGGCTAGGCAAAGTGACTGCGCTGGCGGAGGAGACATACCATGGCAAACGGTACGCGACACACACACACACACACTACCCACGTTCCCCGCATGCACCGCCCCCCCTCCCGAGGCCACGATCCTTCGTAAAAACATGAACATGCGCTTCCGAGGCCACGATCACTCTCTCACAACGACGGATCCGCGCCCCTAGCTTCCTTGACGGCCCATGCAGGCAACCAAAAACACCAAATTGGCCCAAGGTGCTCGAAGACGGCCAAGGATGGCCCCAAGGCGGCCCAATGTGGCCGCAAGACGGCCTAAGATACCTAAAAGATGACCCAAAAGGGCCACGAGAAGACCTCCAACAGGATCCGAAGACACCGAAATCATTGATTGCCTTTAGGTCGTTGTATGTATGAGTTTCGCATTATCGCCTTTTCGGGTTTCCGTCAGCTCAAGACGGCCCAAGAAGCCTCCAAGATGGCCCCGATACGGCCCGAGGGGTCCCCAAGAGGGGCCCCGATGGCCCAAAAGGTCCCACGATGGCCCCAGGGGCATCCAAGACTGCCCCACGGCCCAAGAAGGCTTCCCGTGGGACCCAATACGGCATTAGAAGGCCTCGCGACGGTCCACGACGACCCCACGACAGCCCCTAGGCACCCACCGCACTGCCAAGAGGGCCCCAAGACGGCCCAAGAGAGCTCCAAGATTGAGTAAAGAGGGCCCCGAGACGGCTAAGGAGGCCCCGAGGGAACCCCAAGACTGTCTCACGGGAGGTCTACACAGCCCCAAGACGGCCCAAACGAGTTCCATGAGCTCGAAGATGAAAGGTGATAGGTGTGACGGCCTTCATCCTCCTGCTCCTCCTCCTCCTCCTCCTCCTCCTCCTCCTCCTCCTAATCCTCCTCCTCCTCCTCGACGTCGTCAGCATCATCGTGAACAGCGGCAGCAGCAGCAGCAGCGTCAGCCTCATCATCCTAAACATCATCACCACCACAACCAACATCACCACCACCACCACAATAAGCATCATCATCATCATCATTACCATCATCATCATCATAAACATCATCATCCATCATCATCATCATCATCATCAATCATCCAGCATCAGAATCAGCATCAGCATCATCATCACATCATTCAGCCATCATCAACATCATCATCATCATCATCATCATCATCACACATCATAATCATGCATCAATCATCATCATCATCATCATCATCAGCAGGTCAGGCAACATAAGTCAATCATCATCACCATCATCATCATCAGCAGCATCATCAGCATCATCAGGATCAGCATCAGCATCAGCATCAGTATCAGCATCAGCATCTGCATTATCATCATCATCATCAGCAGCAGCAGCAGCATCAGCATCATCATCATCATCATCATCATCAGCATCATCATCATCAGCATCATCCGCATCAGAATCCGCATCATCATCATCATCATCATCATCATCATCATCTTCTTCATCATCATCATCATCATCATCATCATCATCATCATCATCATCATCATCCTCATCCTCATCCTCATCCGCATCCTCATCAACCTCATCATCCTCGTCGTCATCATACTCATCCTCAACATCATCATCATCAGCAGCATCGTCACCAGCACCAGCACCATCACCATCAGCATCATCATCACCAGCAGCATCATCATCCTCGTTGTCAGCATCAGCATCATCATCTTCATCATCATCATCAGCAGCATCAGCAGCAGCATCGTCATCGTCGTCATCATCAGCATAAACATCATCATCCTCGTCGTCAGCATCATACTCATCCTCATCATCATCTTCATCGGCGGCAGCATCATCATTAGCATCATCATCATCATCATCATCATCATCACCGACACCATCAACATCATCATCATCATCATCATCATCATCAACAGCATCATCATCCTCGGTGTCAGCATCATCATCATCATCATCATCATCATCATCATCATCATCAGCATCAGCATCATCATCATCAGTATCAGCATCATCAGCAGCATCCTCAACTTCATCATCAGCAGCAGCAGCAGACTCATAATCATCATCATCACCATCATCACCATCAGCATCATAATCATCGTCGCCACCACAACCATCATCATCATCATCATCATGAACAGCATCGGCGTCATCATTATCATCATCATCCCCCTCAGCATCAGCATCAGCATCAGCAGCATCATCATCATCGTCGTCGTCAATGACATCGTCATCATATGTATATATATATATATATATCAGCATAATCATCATCTGCATCATCATCAGAATCGTCGTCGTCGTCATCCTCATTGTCTTCATCCTCTTCCTTCTCCGCATCCTCCTCCATCATCAACATCGTCGTCGTCATCATCATGATCAGCATCATCATCGTGGTCGTCTTATCATAATCAGCAGCAGCGTCAGCAGCATCTGCACCAGCATCATCAGCAGCATCATCATCAGCGTCATCATCACCATCATCACAATCATCACCATCAGCACCATCATCAGCATCATCATCCTCGTCGTCAACGTCGTCGTCGTCGTGATCATAGTCAGCTGCAGCAGCGTCAGCATAAGCATCAGCATCAGCATCAGCATCAGCATCACCAACACCATCATCAACATCAACATTATCATCACAAGCATCATCATCATCACCATCATCACCATAGTCGTTGTCGTCGTCGTCATCAGCAGCAGCGTCAGCATCAACATCAGCATCAGCATCATCAGCAGCATCATCGTCGTCATCAGCATCATCATCATCGTCATCATCAGCAGTATCATCATAAACCCCAACATCATAGTCAGATTCAACATCATCAGCATCAGCATCATCAGCACAACAAGCACCATAATCATAAACAGAATCATCATCATGGACGGAATCCTCCTTTTCCTCCTAACCCTCATCATCATCCTCACCGTTATCAGCAGCATCATCATCGGCAGCAGCATCGTGTTCCTCATTATCTTTTTCAATTTGAGCGTCATCATCAGCAGCATCGCCATAATCATCATCATCATCATCATCATCAGCAGCAGCAGCATCATCGTCATCATCAGCAGCAGCAGTATCATCATCGTCATCGTCGTCATCATCGTCATAAGCATCATCATCAGCAGCATCAGGATCAGCATCAGCATCAGCATCAGTATCAGCATCAGCATCAGCATCAGCATCAGCATCATCATCATCAACATCAACATCATCGCAGCTCTCCCAAGCCTTGAGACACTGGTATCACACGTAACGGCCCCCCGTGACCCCTCGAACAATCGCCACTCAGAATGTTGGGCCGGCACGGTGGCGGGACTTGCCGCAGGCGGCTGGATCTTCCTCCAGGACTCCTTTCCTCCATGGGGGCTCTCGAGCCCCGCCATTGATGTTAACATCGCCCCCCCCCACCCAGCGTGCGTCTTGAGGAGGAGGAGGAGGGGCTAGGTGCGCTCGCGTCATATCTGACGTCCTACCCCTCCCTCCAATCCCTTCCCATGGCGCTGATTTTCTCTATCCGCGAACGCGTGTCGTAGCGGACCTGTGGCTCCGCGCGCGCGTGCGTAGTGGGTGGTGGTGCGCGTGCGTGCGTGCGTGTGTGCGTGGTGGGTGGTTGTGGTTGTGGTGGTGGTGGTGGTGGCGGTGGTGGTGGTGGTGGTGGTGGTGGTGGTGGTGGTGGTGGTGGTGGTGGTGGTGGTGGTGTGTGTGCGTGTGTGCGCGTGCTGTGGTGTGACTTGGTGTGGCGTCTTGGTGGTTTGTTGGTGGGCCAGGTGCGTGCGTGCGTGATGGCGGTGGTGGTGGTGGCGGTGGTGGTGGTGGTGTGTGTGCGTGTGTGTGTGTGCGTGTGTATGTGTGTGTATGCGTGCGTGTGTGTCTGTGTGCGCGCGCGTATGATGTGGTGTGACGCGGTGTAGCGTGGTGGTGGTGGGTGGGGTAGTAGGGTGGTGGTGGCGGTGTGCGGTGGTGGTGCGCGTGCGTGCGTGCGTGCGTGCGTTGGTGGGTGGAAGTGGCGGTGGGCGGGGCGGGGCGCGGTGCGGTGGTGGCGGGCGGATGGGCGCGCGAGAAAGAGGCCCGCGCTGGGGCGAGAACGCCATCCTGAACGACGGAGGCAGAACACCGATCCGAAAATGAGGCCCACGCTGCAGCGGGAGCACGATTCGGAACGAGCGGAAGCCCGAAAATGAGGCCGGCGCCTCAGCGAGAGCAGCATTTTGAAAAAAAACCTAGCGAAAACCCAACTCCGGGGAATTCTGTGCAAAAAAGCATGATCGACCCACGAACCCGGAAAAGAATATAGAAATGTAAGACATGGCAACGTTTCAAAGACACCTGATTGGGCGACGGGCAAATGCAATGCTTAGTGTATCGACCTTGATGTACCGTGCCGAGGGCTGTGCTGTGCTGTGCCGTGCTGAATTGCGATGTGCCA